TGAAGCACTCGATGGCTCATATTCTAACCATCAAGCAACAATAGACGAACAACTAATTTGGGCATTAATAATCTGCCAGGACATCTCCACTCACGCCCACGTAATTTTAGGCCGACTAAATGTGCAAATCCAACACAGTGTTGAATCGAATTTGTTGTTCTAGCATTCTTTCAATGTCCCCGATAACCATGCAATCAGTATTCGAAAACCGGACTTAACCAATCTCAACTAGCGGCCATCCCCAACTTAAAATTTTCAATCGATCCGAAAGACCTCGTGCAACTAAGCTACACAGGATTCAGGCACTTCCCTCCGCCGCAAGGGTTAGCTTTCCCGGTACGTGCGATACCCACATCACACACGCACAACCCACAGATCCGAGCAAAACCAATAGGAAGAACAAACGATCCGGCACGTGCGTGTGTAAATCCGATGGTTCAACAAACCTTAGCGGTCGACTCCGCCTCGGCCACGGCCACTGGGTTTCGCACGTACCCCGGCGGCGGGTAGGGGAAGCACCTCGACATGGTCGACGGTCGACCGCGCTCTACCCCGCCGAGAGATCACAAGGATTGGCGGCAAAGCCGGCCTAATCAGCCGCGAATCGCTCGAAATCGATCGATTCGCGGCAAGGAACCCACCGGAAATTTCCGGGCGCGGCGGGATTCGATTTTGGCGTGGCGGCTAGGGTTTCGCTACGGGGAGGGGAAATTTTTCTAGGGCTGCGGTAGGAGAAGGAAACCAGAGTCTCTTCCAGGGGAGGGGGGTAGGCCGCTATTTAAAGCCGGGGGCGAGGAGACCGAGTCGTGCGGGGAACTAGCGCGTCCGTCTCGGTTACGTGTTATTTTCCGGAACGGAGTCGCTGACAGCTTGGCACAGGCCCGTGGTGGGGCGTTATGTCAGTGGAACAGATCTAAGAGCAGGTGCTGTGGATGGCGACGCGTTGCACCTCCGCGTCGCGGGTGGAGCTAGGTTAACAGCGTGTGGGTCCCGCTTGCAGGCAGAGCCGGGCTTGAGTATTCCGCGGGCCCACGGCGCGGAACCGACCTAGAAGCGTCGGCAACCCGCAATCACGGACCGACACGTGGGTCGCGTTGCCAGCCCAAGCCCAGCGAGGCGCGTCCGCCGCGACGGTCTGCGGTGCGGAATGAACCACATCGCGATTCGCTTGGCTGCGCAGTAGCACGCTAGTGCCATACAAAACGAATTTGTCATGCGAGAGTGCAAGGCCTGTGCTCCAACGACTCAAGGCCTGCAGCCGAACAGTGTTAAATACTGCTCCCTCCGTCCAAAATAGAGGTCGTCATGGGATACGTGCAGGTCAAATTTTCTCATCTTTCACTAGCTTTCAGCGTGTTACGCTGGTTGGTTTCTGGATTGATAAGCTCAGCTGGTGTTAGTTTATTGTAAGAGAAAAACACTGTATCATGACTGATAAGTCTTGACTAAAACCAACAAGCGAATATGTTGTTTATAGAAAATACATGTAACATTTATATCTCCAAATAAGTTTATTATAAAAGTATATTCAATGATTTATCTAATGATATTAATGATGTATTATAAATATTAATATTTTTTTACACATAAGTGGTTAAAGTTGAAAAATACTGACTTCTCGAAAAGTGAGAACGACTTCTATTTTAGGATGGAGGAAGTACCTCGCAAGCCAATCTGAGACCCTCATTTTCAAAATTTCTCTATCGCACGAAAGTTCAACCCGATTTAAAATACCTCGCAGACCAATTTGAAACCCTCATTTACAAAATTTCTCTATCGCACGAAAGTTCGACCGATTTATATAAAACTATTACTGTAGAACTCTAGTCTCAATAGAACTAGATATAGTATAATGGAGATGATAAAAATATAATGTGATGAAATAAGTTTCATATATAAAAATAAAACTTGTCTAAACTATTTCTAACACGTGAAAGTCCTAAAAATTGAGACATAAAACCCCACTGAGATTGGACTTAGACCCTGAGAGGTCATGTGTCGTAATAGACGATTTAGGCAGCCATCAATTAATACAGCATTGCCAGCACAACTAGGTAAATGCAAGAAACTATGCCCAAATAAGTAGTATCCCAGAAAACTTGAGACAAACTGAACATCACTACCGCTTTTATTTGTGCTGCAATTGGTAACACAGAAGTTGCAACCACCCAATCGATCCAATTCTCAAAACCATCAAAATCAACCGTTACAATAATGGTCGGAATCTCAACAGAAACCAAGCCACCAGGACGCAGAGGCATCTTGAGAATACATGAGTCACAAATATAAGACGCAGCACAATTCAAGTATGATCGACCAAACAGTGTTCAAACATATTGTAGCCTCTGAAAAATGTGTCCCCGAGGCCCATCACACTGAAAGGTCTTAGATAAATCAGATGAGAAGCTTCTCAATAGAGTCCTGCAATTCATTAAATTTGATTAGTCTACAAGAACACGATAAAAAGGACTATTAAACAGCTACAAATATTACAGAATCAAGATATGCACAAATATATATAAGATAAAATATCCAGTACAGAATATTAAGTACCTTGAGACCCTGTATCTGTAGTTTCAGCTGGCTACCCTCATTGCTGGTCACTGAGCAAGCAATGACCGGTCTTGTCACACCACAAGCACGGCCAAGAGCTTGTTTCGATGGAACAAATACATATGGCACGTTCTGCACATAGCATAGGGCAAATTTATTAGCCAATGGTGAATGTTTTTTTTGGGATAAGATCCAATGGTGAATGTTGCCATATTCATTAAGTATGCTAACATAAGTGTTGTATACAGGTAGTTCGTGTCATCAACCAAGCAGGATAAAGGGAGCATAAAGAAGCATGTAGAACTAACTAAAAACACGAGCTTTATCAGCTAACATGACTGCACTACCGGGCTGAATTATCACTACATGTCTGTTACTTAACAGAACAAAACCAGCTAGCATTAAATTTATAAGAAAATCCAAGTCCTGGCATTGAGGGCCGCATCAATTCATACCCCCCTCCATTTTTTAAAAGGCATGTTTGATTTTGTTATGGCAGAATTTAACCAGCAATTACTCTATATTTGTATTATTGTGTTATTAAAAGGTATAGTCATAAGAAAAAGGTTTTGAATACAGATCTAATGATACCAACCTCGCGGCACAAAAATTACATACTAACAGAAAAAATGTTGGTTGAAGGCGACGCAAAATTGAGCATTATGTTTTCAAACGCAGGGGGTACCATTTACAGATAATTAACTAAAAAACACAGTTGAAGCAATTACTTTTGGACAGAGTAACACACACTGAGCATATATGACAACAATGTTGCAAGCATCCATGATATCTAGCATCAAAAGATTGGCTTCATTGCAATCAAAGCAAATAAGAAATCCTCTACAGCTTAAGCAGTTAACAAAGGACCGTTCATTCTCACTCACAAGTCACAATACAACAAAGGGCAAAAACAAAACAATAATCACACAGCACTAGTGTACGCGAAACAAAACAAAAGGGGAAAGGGCAAAAAAATCGGTACCTTATCCTCAGCTAGCAAGGGGAGGTGGAGCAGGATCTCGAGCGGCTCTGTGTCCGCCGCCATCACTACGAACTCGGATATCCCCCTGTTCAGTGTCTTCGTCGCTGCGCGCAAACACAAAAGACACAAATTGAATAAGAAAGCCCCAGAATTAACAAAGTACAGGCCAGGAGACGTGCACAAGGGATTGGTCCGGTACCTTCGTTAGCTCCCTTCTTGAGCTGCTTGTAGTTGGCGGCCTGCTGGACGATATCGAGGATACCCATCGTCAGCTGCGCATCAGCCAGCGGGTACGCCTTCGGGTTCACCGCGGACTCCATCGCAGGGGCGGATCTAGTAAAGGGACATGGGTGTACACATGTACACCAGATAGTTTTTGCAAAGAGTTAGAATTTAAATAGTCATCAAATACCCAAATAGCTTGAGGTTAAGAGTTTGAAAACTCGGTTTCGCACAGCAGACAGGGAAGAGAAGGGGGTGGGAATACTGGTGGGCGTTCTTCGCCGGCGAAGGGCAGCGGCGGCGGTAGCCCAGCAGGGTTATTCGGACCAGGCTTGGTGGCTGTGGCGTACTGGCGTTGTCGCGGCAGCGGCTGGAGTGTCGTGTGGTGGAGCCGGGAGGAGAGGCCGAGGCTGGTGGCGGTTAGGGTTACCACGCAGTATATATATATATATATCCGGCTGGTTTAGTTGGGCCTTGTCGTTCCAAACTGAGACGGGCCTGTAGCCCTGCACGCATGTATCAGTGAGTCGGTTGGAGGCTTGGAGCACCGCGCAAGTTTTATGCTTCCTTGATCTCTGCTATTCTCCTGTTCATTTCCATTCCAGGATGAAAGCGTGACTGCGCTGAGCGATTCCAGAGGTTTGACCTCGTTCTAGGAAAGGATTATATAGGATTATTCACTTAGCAATCCTATGTTCTAAAAGCTCTCGTATGAAAAAAAAAATCGTTAGGAAGTGAATCTTATTGAAATCCTTCGTATCAGAGTAACAAAACTAGTACACAAAAATCAAAGTTTTATCCTCCATCAATATAGTCCTGAGATGACCCAGGTGGGCATATTCGATAATCCGGGAGAAAGAAGTGCACAATCATTTGATGGCCAACTGATCCTATACACGGCCCCAGAAGCTTTACTTGTAACGAAGTGCTTGTATGTGCCTTATGTACAAGGACACCACAATTACATGGAGTACAGCCGTACAGGTTAGTACATCCGTTACGTTATCTTACAACAGCACGAGCCCCTCTCCTATGCATCAAATCCGCATCTGTTGGATACTCGTATCAGCAGCAAACAGCTGCTTCAGTTGGGTACTCGTATCAGCAGCAAAAACAGCTCGCTTGGACAAAATAAAGCTCCCTCTTCAGCGAAATGCAGCATTGGCGGTTCCTTCCTAACCAACACAGCAAGTCGTGGAAGCCCTAGCATCCCCTGTTCGAAATGCATCGAGGCTATTTGCCATCAGGCGGCTCCAACTATTTGACTGTCCCCTATCAGTATGTCATCGGCTTGATATCTCACGGACGGTATGTCCAAGTCCAGTGGTCCAAGTGAATCAGGCTGCCAAGAGAAAAAAAAAGTAAGCTCACCTAAGATAATGCCAGTACAAAAGAACATTATGATTTCTTCAAGTACCCAATATATGTCAGCTAAAGATTGATCCTTCAGCTCATTAGTTTCATCATTTCGAGGTGGTGATTTAGCATAAAACTCCTCTTCGTCTTTGGCATCATCATTATAAGGATTATCACCATCAGCCTCTCCTCCAGTCAAGTCCTAAAACATGAGATAACACATAAATAAACAAGGTCAACAACTCAAACGTATAAACTCATTTTGCTTCTAGGAGAACCCAAAATATGTCAGCAGACCTGAAGAAAACCTTGAAATCCTTCTGAATTTGAAGGATGAACTTCATTATCAGTATCAGGAGAGCTGCTAGGAGTGTTTGAGCCTTCTTGCTTTCTGGAGGCTGACAAATTAAAGCTGAACTCATCACATGTTTCTTCTGCTCCCCATATGGTTGAATGGGGAGTATGGGCTGGCTGCTCTGTTGCTTGATAACGAGAAGCATGAAGGGCAACAGCAGCATCAAACGAGTCATAGCTGCATGGATTCTCAAGAAACAAAGGATTTTTTACACTAGTCCCTACGCAATCTAAATGAGCGCCTTTGGATGCTTCTGTCAGTAAGTGCCCAACACTGATATCTGTAAGGGTATCTGCCCACTCTACTTCAGATATTGCCACACAATTCACTCCCTGATCATCCTGAAGTATAAATGCATACTAAGTTATAATAATAGAAAGGAAGATCGCCCATAGAAACATTTAGTTGACGGAAGGATGCAAGAGACAGAAAATATAACCTCAGAAGCTTGGGTTACAGGAACCTGCACTTGCTTTTGGCTGCCAAACTGAGAGGGGGGCACATTAGCCGGCTGATCTGGAAGCTCAGAGTTCTTGCCTGTACTAGATGGTGTCATATGCAATAACATTGAACTACAAGGATATTGCTCATGAGTGCAATTACTGAGCAAAGTACCATCCTTTTGCACACAAGCCTTATCTCCTGATGCCGATTTGACTTGGGATGACTTCCGGTATCATGCAATCCTCAAAATGGGTTAAAGATATTTCACTTACTCCTGCTCCAAGCTCAACAAGGGAAAACCAACCATACCTTAACAAGAAAATGTTGACACAACAATTAGCAATCTTTACACGCCTACAAGTGACCCATTAGGTTGTGACTTTCTATCAATCAGAGAAATTATATACCTTAAACGGAAAACAGAAGGGCTATTCACAGAAAGAAACACATCAGCTACTACAACAGTATCTCTTGTTGTCCACCTCTGATATGTAGCCAAATCCTCTTGATTAGCACAATACGGAAAAAGAATAAGCTCACCAGATGCGATGTTTGAGTTACCCCATTTTCGGTTTAGATGTTCTAGCACAGATGATATTTTCTTCCTAGAGCTTAATGTGAGCTCTAGATGAGGATTATGGTCATCCTGATAAGAGGAGAAAAAGCACCATGTAATGTTCAAATTGCTCACATATTGGAGAACTGAACAGAATAACTGAGACCCAAACTAAATACAAAGGAAAGTTTGAGCAAAATGCAAAGGGACAATAATCAAGTTATCTATTCATCATCTTTCATCTATAACATGCACGAATTCGACAAGAACCCGAGTGCTCGGTCAATAATTCACCAGTAACAACTGACATGTTAAAAATACAGTGACCGAGGGAAATTGTGATTCATATGCAGTTTGCTAGTAGCAAGAAACCATGCTTTACCTTCTCCAATGCCTTCCGAGTAGCTTCATTTATTGGAAATAACTGTAGCCTCAGCTTCACAGGTGCTTGTGAATCTGCTTCCTTCATATGATTTGTGCTAATGCCTGCAAATGCAGATTAAAAACATCAGGACAATAGAACTGTACCTGCTACTGTTAACTTCAACGAGTGTGTTGAACAAAGTTCAGCAAATACAAGAACTGAAATCCAGTTGCTAGAAGCCATACCATCAACAGTAGAAAGTCTGTCTGATGATGAAGTCAGTGTTCTTGCATCAACATTACATAACATGCCCGGGTTAACCGTGTTGCGCTCAAGCTCCTCAGCTGCATCAGCAACTAAAGAAACACGAGCCATGGCCGCTCTCTCCCATTTTTTATATGCAGCAGATGCAACAGTGCCACCTAAAACACAGGTCACCAGCTATCCACATTAATGCAACAAAGGTTCACCACTAGAGAGCACCTCTACATGATTGTGTGACAAAAGATAAGCAAGGTTAGGGAATAACAAAGGAAAAGAGAAGATGTGCCCACCTGCCTTCCTTTTTTGTTTCATGGTTCTTGTGGCAGAGAGGTCGCCTTTAGTTCCTCCTGACTTGCTAGAAATTGGTTCTGCAACCCGCTTGAAAATTGTCCCTTTAGGAGATGCTACTCTGCTACCATTTTGAGCATATACTGACAGCAACTTTACAGGAGGAGTCTCATTCCCAGGAGCCTTGCTGACAATTGGAGATGGAGAAGGTAGGCACATATCCACTTGTGAACGCTTTCTCCTGGACTTAATGTCCTTTAGCAGTTGTTTTCCCCAGCAAACAAAAGGAGAGAAACATAGCATGACAAAGAAGAAACAAACTGGCACCAGTTTATAATGAGAAAAAAAAACATGAGGACAAAGCAACTCACCAATGCTTCTACAAATGTTTTGAACCTCCGAGGCTTCAGGTTCAGCTTTGATGCACTGCAACTAAATTTCTCAAGCAGAGACCACCTGCATCAAAACCAGCTAATATTGAACTGCCAGCAGTCGAGCAAGCACATCCTTAAACGACGCTTTCTACAAAAGCTAAGTTACCTGTTTCACAAATTATTAAGAAAAGAGTTTTCTAAAGGACGGAGGAGCCGTATGAAATGAAAACCTCATGTACAGTTTGGAATGGAATTTTCAAAAAAAAAAATTGAATGCATGGCCATAATGGATGTTGGCTTTATCCAAAGAAAATAATGCAGAAGCATTGAAAAATTATTATGAAGCTAAACGACTAGAAATTGAATTTAGATCGTGTATGTAACACAAGAATAAGCCAAGCACATCAAAATCAATAGAAAGGTACACAACAGATCAGTGAATATGACAGGATATCCACTACATAACGGAATTACGGAACTATAATGAATGGTAGTCACAGCCTTCAGATATCATAGATGGCTAGATACAATCTACCATCATGATCTGTAATAGAAACACAAGATGTCTAAATTCCTATAAATATCATGCTCCTATGGTGTATAAATAAAATCAACAATGAACTATATTTTCTCAGGCAATTTACAGATGATAAGATATATTCAATTACCAGCGAAGCATAGCAGCAATGGTATCCTTGGAGTCTTTTTTGCATCAAGTGAGAACCTAGGACCCAATAGCTTCTTCATGCGTCGAACAAGACGATAATAGTAATGCCTGACCTGTATGACACATAAAGCATTGAATCTTTTTACATTAGATTCATATACAACAGAATTAAAACTTTAATATAATAAGATAGGGCGATAGGCTAACGTTGCAAGAAAAGATTAAACATCTTTATAGTAATAAAATATAAACTCTAATCATCATAAAGACAGGAACTCCTTAGGACAACTCATACATAACTAAAATTCACAGTCTAATGCGTATCCGTTTCACCTAAAATATCTTGGTTGAAAAACAAATACCTGATCCTTGTTTTTACTCTGAACACGGTGCGTAATCTTGTCAAAGTTCTGGGAAAAACAATATGGGATTACCCATCAATCAATTATTATGTGCTAATTAGATTGCAAATAGCAGAAGGGCATTGCATCCAGGATTTATGCCTCTTACTTTTCCTACTTGTCGCAGTGCATTGAAGAAATTCTCCTCCTCTTGGTGTGTCCACGCAGCCCATTGTCGAGTCTGCTTTTTCGCTATGAAAATCAGACACAGCGCAAAAACTATCAGGCAAAATCCAGAACTGTCCTAGATAGGGAGTCTGGAAAAAAAAATACAAAAATAGTTCAAAAAACGAACCAGGTTTCTTATTGGAATCGGAAGGCTCAGGGGCGGACCCAGTGAAGGACATGGGTGTACACATGTACACCCAATAACTTTTGCAAAAGAAAAAAACGAATTTAATAGGCATAATACATATATAAACTTGTAATTAGATCAGATCCGAATACAAATACACAAATATAAAAAGTTAAGGTTCAGTGGTCAGTTTCGCACAGCAGCAAGAGGAGAGAACGGATGCGCATACCTGGGTGTTGATCGCCGGCGAAAGACACGACGAAGACCCGAGCACGTACCGTAGGACGGCGGCGGACTTAGTAGCGCCGTAGCGGCATGAGAGCGCGCCTCGCGCACGGTGAACGGAAGAAGAAAAGGCAGGCAGGTGGACGGGAGAAGGAAATGGGCTCGGTTACGATGGAGTGGGTTAGGGTCATGGATATCAGGTTCTAGTCCAATCCGTTGTTTGGATGGAGTTGAGTTTGGGTTGGGTGGGACCCACAAGATTAATCTCTATTCCTCTACTGGTACTAAGGCCTTGTTTAGATGCTAAAAAAATTTGACAAAATGCACGGTAGCGGTTTTCGTTGTTATTTGGCAATTAGTGTCCAATCATAGTATAATTAGGCTTAAAAGATTCGTCTCGTGGATTTCGTCTAAACTGTGTAATTAGTTTTATTTTTTAATTATATTTAATGCTTCATGCATGGGTCCAAAGATTCGATGTGACGAGGAATCTTGAAAAATTTGGCAAAATTTTGGGGAACTAAACTGGCTCTAAATAAAGGTGGGGCTGGCTAGCGCCCGGACGGACGTACGGGGCGCTGAACGCCCACGCCTACGCCTGTTTCCCGTGCGGTTTTGCGACTCCACGTCGCCTCGAGGAGGAGACACCGAGAAAGGCAGCAGAAAGCGAGAAAGAAGATGCAACAGCCGATCTATTTTTGAAACATCCAGATGCAACAAATAGCAACATACATGAAAAGCACATGAAACCCATTGTATAAAAAATACGCAACATCTAGATAAAAACACTTGCAGCATATACATGAAACATATGCAACATCCAAATAAACACATATTGTCTGGAAAAAACACCGATGAAACATTGGGAACATAGCTTGCAACATACGTGTACAACTATTACAGCATGTGCAACATCCCGATCTACTTTTGTAACATCCGCATGAAACACTTGCAACATACCTCTAAAACATCTAAAACACTTGAAACATACGATTGCAACATGTGCTTTCAGCGTAATATTTCCTTATTGTTTTCGGAATGGAGGTCGTCGATGCGTAGAGTTCACTGGTGTAGAGCTCGCCGCTCCGGTAGAGAAGGCCACGACAAGTTCGGTGGAGAAGACCGTGGCGGATCCACGTGCTCTAGACGACCGCGGCGGATTACCAGCTCCACATGATAGCCACCCTCGCTTCCCTCCCACGCGACGGTGTGGGTCTCCGTCGTCGTGCTCGTCTCCCACGCGCCACTCTCCCTGCTCTCGCGCGGGCCTCCAGAGCCACCGTTTCCTCCCACGCGCGTAGGCCTCGGAACTGCCGTCGCCTTGCTTGCGGGCCGCTATTCTGCAGGCGGACGCGGGAAGTGCAGTGGTTGTTGGAGATGCAGGCCGCAAAGAGTGCAGAAGGGCAGCAAGCGAGCAGCCGGACGCCGAAGCGCAGTGGTTGCCTGAGGGCGGCCGCCAGATCCTTGACGCCATGTCTCTGGGACAGAGATGTGCTGCCGTGCGCGAGGTGGATGTCGTTACCTCTGCGGCTACATTGCTGACCCCACGCCACCGCCACCGAATCTTCAATTCGCCACAACAGCTGCTACGGTGAGCTAAGCATCTCGTCCATCTCCTTTTTTAGTAGAATCTCGCCCACCTCCTGGCTCGGTGAATAATGGATGAAGCTAGCTCGCTCGAATGGATAAGGCCACACCGACCACCGCTTCAGCCTTTTTTTTTAGAGGCGGTCTAGCGTAGGCGGCCCACCATCGGGAGCGTCCAGCGCGGACAGACGCCCTATACCAAGAATTACCAATAAAGGTATGGCCTGGTTGCTCAACACAAGTTGTCGATGCATGCCAAATTGATTTTAATAAGTAAATATAAATCTTTCACCAGCAACAACAAAAATGTTATTTGCACCTAAATAATCGGTGTGTAGTGGACTTTTGTAATTCATTTCGTAGCTTCGCTCAAATATTGACAGTAATCCCCTCTCGTATAGTTAGTTTACAAATCTAGACATGATAGTTTTTAAAAAATCTTACTTGCTTGTTTGATTTAAAGCTTGCTTGTTTGATTTAAAGATGATGTTGTTACTACATCACTATTTTAGAGCTTGCGGTCTGGTGATGTTTTAGAGACTGATGACCTTTTAGAGCACTTTTGTGATTTGGCAAGCAAAGATACATCCTAGGATAATGGAGCATTGTATGCAACTCTATATGAAGCAAACATTTTCTGGTGTGCCAGTTGAGTGCGTTTTGCTTGAATGTTTAGTTGTATATATCAAACATAACTCAAATTGATAGCACTCATTGATGTGCAATCAAAAATGTCTTTTTGCATGTCTATCTAAATGTGTCACTGTTTGCAAATTGCACATATGGAATATTCTTTTGGAGTTTTGGTATTCTGAAGTATCTATTATGCCATTCAAAGCTCACAATTTGACACAATAATAACAAACACTAAAGTCTCAAATTGATGCAATAATTAGACTTCAAATGTAATGTTTTTTTTATCTAAAGGAATATAAAAAAACTCTGAAATTGATAGATATTCAATCATATACTAAATATGAAGCTACAATACTAATTCGCACACCAAATTACAATATAATTGAACACTTCCACTATGAAGCCACCCCTGTCCCCTCCACAAGTCGTGTGCGGTAGCCTTTTGTCCTCCTGTGTTGCGATTGGTGGTTGCTCCCACTCTATTATGTCGAACCATGTGTCCATGAGGCATGAAATCATTGTCTTCAACGTAGAGCTTAACCTCGACACTGGGGCACCAAAATATCGCGTTGGGAAAAATGGGGCAAGTGACGAGGAGGACGAAGTCAAAGGGTGCTTGCTAGGGATCTGCTCGCTCGCTTCGATGCCGAGGGAGAAAGGGAGGGGGCGAGCAGCTGTGGCCAGGGGCGGATTTAGAGAGGAGAGGGGGGGGCTCTAGCCCCCTATCACCATAAACACTTTTTTTGCAAGTCACCATAAACACTATAGAACACCCTTAGTCCGAAGGAGAGGAAGAGAAAGAGAAGAGGAGGATGAACCCTTCCTATATTAAAGATGGTTTTAACCTCAATGAAACTAAAATAGCCGCAGCATCTGTACCAGTTCATATTGAGGATGAAGTCAAAGGGTGCTTGCTAGAGACGTGCTCGCTCGCTTCGATGCCGAGGGAGACAGGGAGGGGGCGAGTAGCTGTGGCCAGGGGCGGATTTAGAGAGGAGAGGGGGGTGTTGTGTTGCGGGTGGGGGGGGGCTCCAGCCCCCTATCACCATAAACACTTTTTTTTGAAAAGCCACCATAAACACTATAGAACACCCTTAGCCCGAAGAAGAGAGGAAGAAAAAGAGGAGGATGAACCCTTCCTATATTAAAGATGATTTTAACCTCAATGAAACTAAAATAGCTGCAGCATGCGTACGAGTTCATATTGAGAACGAAGTCAAAGGGTGCTTGCTAGAGATATGCTCGCTCACCTCGCCCGCTTCGATGCCGAGGGAGACAGGGAGGGGGCGAGCAGCTATGGCTAGGGGGGGCTCCAGCCCCCTATCACCATAAACACTTTTTTTTACAAGTCACCATAAACACTATAGAACACCCTTAGCCCCGGGATATAGGTGAAGTAAGAAGAGAGAGGAAAGGAAAAAAAAAGAGAAGAGGAGCATGAACCCTAAGCTGCATTAGCCTATTGTCACTTAGGGCCTCGTCACACCTATTGGGCCGGAACCCAAGACTGTGATCCTTCTCTGACTGCTCTCTGCTGTTGTCGACGCCAATTACCGAGGATCTAGTAGCATATGTATCATATCACTTTATCAAGAGAAGAAACACTCAGGTAAATGTATCGTTCTGGCAGGTCAGAACGTCTACAGAAATACTGCCGGACTAAAACAAAAGCTAATTTCTTGACGACAATACATGATATTTATTGGTCCAGCCATCCAAATAGAGCAAGGAAAAGACTGTATGCAAGCTACCGACCACCGTCAATACATCACATTCAATAACAACAGGTTGAATTATACATTAGGACAGTTTTGACTACGAGACAGCGTTCTGACATCAGACAGCAACATCCTCAGCCAGACGAGAAAAGCCGCCTGACACCCTGAAGAATCTACCTCCTCACAGGAGGTGCGCTGCCTCGCCCAACAGGACCACCGCCACGACCAGCAGCAGCCTAAAAATTGACAGGCAAAAGAGTTTATAGGAACTATCAATTATCAAGTGATGAATCAATGAATGCACGTATATCTTTGATTCTATGAAATCACACAAAATGAAACTCTAAAGAAAATCACACAAAAGTGCTTCGAGATGTTGCGTAGTTCACTTCACCAAGATATTTTGGATTTCACTACTGTCAGGTCCATGAGCCCATCTCTACTGACAAGATGCACTATAGAGTTCACAAAATGATTAAAAGAACGTGTTGTGCAAGCTTATTTCTTCATTCCCTGCAAGTTCGACAAGACAAGAAACTAAACTTGACAATAGTGATGACACAGTGTTCAGGTGGAATTGGAAACCTTTCAATTCCATTATAAACACAGTTTCAGTGATCAAAATAAGAAGCTCAAAATCCAGGCCAGCGGGAATCTTTCAACCATGTAAGAAGCTCAAAAGAAACCATCCTTACAAGTAAAAGAAAACCACCGAAAGAAGTGAGTGGCACTCAGATTATGTCTTGAAAAGCAATTAACCCAAAGAAAAAAAAATCAGCACCCAAGGTCCCTTCCTACTGTTCCCTCCCTCCCAAAGAAAAGGAAAAAAAACATATGTTTTACGATGGGAGTATACAACCATGATTTTTTTACACTTCCAGCTGAAAAAAGAGAACACTGAAGCTAGCCATGAGGTTCAATACCAAATAAAGGAATGATATTCAAAATTCATTCAGTTTAACAACATCACAATGGTATCTAATGAAGCTACAATTTACTTTGGTGCCAAAGCGCATCCTAATTTCATATATTTGAGCATGTCACATTTGTCCACTCCACCACATTACATTGGTTTTATCGTTTAAAAGGAGAGCGGAAAAAGAAACCCTACCAACAGTCTCATTTACCCTCAGACTCATGGTACCAGCTAAAGCGAAGGACATGGAACTAAAATTCCTGTTATGTTCTGATGGTCAAAAGATGGTTTTAACCTCAATGAAACTAAAACAGCTGCAGCATCCGTACCAGTTCATATTGCTCCCAAGTCTATCAATAACCCAGTCTGAACTCTGAAGTCTTAACAGAAAAATGTCAATGCTCAACACTTTCTTTTTAATCATTGATAACAAATGCTCATTTTTTCCCTACTCAACTAACCCTAGACAGTTTGTTCAACTTCCCCCAATGCCAATAGAGTAACACTAACCCCACAAATTCCATCCATGTAGGCATCTATCATAAAGAGAAGAACATCCCCATGAACAAAGGTTTACAAAATAGTCACTATCTTAATATAAAAACATACCAGTAAAAATTAATCTGCTCTACATATAGGTCACTATCTTAATATAAAAAACATAGCAGTAATCATACCCACTGTCTGACTGATTTTAGGCATCAAGACCAAGAGAACTGCAACTTACGAAATCATGCCCTCCTACCTCATGTATTTCAAAGCAAAAACTACTGAATTATATCATTTTTCTATATTAACGTTAGATTAACAAAACATTCATGGTTCTGGATTCATGTCTGCAGTGCTTATTTACTCCAATGTATCACAAAACTTTAAAGTTAAAAATGGTCTTACATAGAAGACAAACAAGTCAATTCCAGAGTGAAGAAAAACTATGCTATATACATATTGCTTTTGTTAAAAGATGACAATATATTTTTTAGGAAAACTCTCGATTTTCCCAAGGAAGCAGTATTAGGGTACCATTGCATCCTATTGGCAATGGCAAGCTCTGAATTTAGAATACTTCTTGATTAACAAGAGAAATGCATAAAACGGATGATACTCAACAAGCATGACAGAAACAACAATTTTTGCCACACAAACACAAAATGTAACAATAATAATACTGATATAAGAGAAAAAAAACACTGTCCAGTTGCTTACCACTAATGAACTACGGTTAACAATACCAATAGTCCAATACACATAATTTTAGGTATTTTCCCCCTTTTTCCAAAGGGGCAATGGCGGTCCCTTTATCCAACATGGTACTGCGCCAAAATTTTCTTATCTTATAGCCACTCTTCCATTTCCACTTTTTTCCAGCTTAGTCATTTTAGGTTCTGATTACTTAGGAACTTACGGGCAAAGGAAGATAAAAATTAGATTATAGAAGATGATCCAGTGAAGGGCGGGCCTAGTGCAAGAGGTAGAGTCTTACCGCCTGTGACCGGAAGGTCCCCGGTTCGAGTCGCGGTCTCCTCGCATTGCACAGGCGAGGATAAGGCTTGCCACTGACACCCTTCCCCAGACCCCGCACTGAGCGGGAGCTCTCTGCACTGGGTACGCCCTTTT